TCCCAAAGACCAGTTTTGGGTAAAATGATATATCTGCTATTTTATGTATTGTACTAAATTTCGACTGCATTAATACCTAAAAAATTTCAAGTCCTTATTTTCTCCTTGCCTTAATTACTTGTACAATTTTTAATTGGCTAACAACAAACAGGTGGTTAGATGTTTATTCACACAACCTTATTTGATGAGCTTTAAACGACGAAGCTGGGAAATGCTCCTGCGTCATTATATTGAATATGCTAGGCATGAAAGGTGACTAGTGATTCAATCATTTTACCAGCCTTCATTTTTTTCAATTTAGTGCTCCTGATGTCATGTTGAATAAACTTTGTAAAATGTGGTTAATTTTAAAAAGAGCGCATAACTAGTCCCGAAAGTCCTACACAATTTCATTTTTTTTTGTTTGGGGCTCTTATCTAGTTCATAATGGTTGGAATACGTTTAGTCTTGATCTTCATGACTCTATCTATAATTTTAAATTGTTTGTGCAATTTTTTGTTGTGTGTTCATATTTTTTGTATCTAGCCACAAAAAATTATTTTCAGCATGTTTGACCTATAAAATTGGGTTACAAATTACTAGAATCTAATTGTTGGTGTTTTTTTTGTTCTTTTTCCAGGGATAACTATTGAAGATTATCAGCCTCCTAGCTATGTTTTATGTAATTTAAATAAGTTACCTTGTTAGTTTCTTTTTAGATAGTATGTAAATAGTCTAATGTACAATGAGATTATCCATATGCTACTAATTTGTTTTGTATCAATTCACATATAAATGTAAAGAGTTTGTTATTGGAAGCTTAGAATTGCAATTTCATAATAAATGGAAACATGGTTGGATAGTTGGAGTGCTATGATTGACACCATTAGAAAGCTGAGTAGTTATGATAAATGCTATGATTGTTTGATAGCGTTTTGGAAAGTGTCATGTAATTTATATGTTTACTATGATGCTTATATTATAGATAGCGTTTCAAATATGCTATTGTTGATTTATTTTTTATAGCGTTTCAAAAATGCTATATTAAGCGGTACATCTACCATAGCATGCTCTGACATAGCGTTTATTAAAACGCTAATAAATGATATGATAGCGTTTTTCAGCCGCTATAGATGACTTTAGTTGGTGTAGTGTCAAAAGTACTTTCATCAAAGTATAGAAATTATAATTTCATACAAATATAATAACTAAAATCATTATCCGAAGTTTATTACAGTTGACCAAGAAAAGTCAAATTGGCCAAGTTTTGTGGGACTGAGGGAGTATCATTTAGATTTAATAATTTTAGTATTTTATGTCTAACTACTTAGGCAATAGATTGAGAAAGTGTGGGAGTATTAGTCAAACCTAGGGTAATTATCTCTTTATTTTATTATTATTATGACCGGCTGAACGCCATCACTTGATAAAAAAACTATTTCTATCTTTTCGTGCACTATAAGAATTAATTCCACTTTTGGTTCTATGAATTTTATGTCATTTCCACATTTAATCCACGCCCTTCACTTTGTTCACTTTTGGAATCCTTTTGTTTGAAAGTCATCCCCTCAAACAGAATGGAAAGTCACTTTTGTCCAGTTGTGCAAACTCACAAAGGGAACACTAATAGATAAGGCAAAATGATAAGCAGAATCATTTGGAGTAAATACAGTATGGCTGAATTTATTTGTACCACAGAATGATAAGCTTTTCCATGCGTACCACAGAATGATTCTCGGTAGCATTTGCCTTATCATTTTGGGTCTTCAAGATCTGCTGAACACAGATTCCAAGTTTTAGAATTATACAGTGAGAATCCTAAGTACAGAAAATAAATGCAGTAAAGTAAATGACACCGGGGATTTTTATAGTGGTTCAAGGAACAACTCGTTCCTCTAGTCCACTGTTCCACTAAGCTTTGAGGTAAACGGTTACAAAGCTTTAGCCCTAGCGCTTAAGAAGCACTCCTCGTCTTCTTCAAGTCTAGTATTTCCACCCGTGCGTTGCACGGGATGAAAAGAGTATATTTTTGGGGCTTCATATCATTTAAATTTCATGCTTTGGAGTAAAACTAAGAACATAAAATGAGTATGTGGAATACATGAATTATAAAATGAGTATGTGGAATAATTTCATGTAATCTCTAAAAGATTTATAGGCCTCTCCATGAATAATTTAACTGCATTATTTATATAAATTAATCATTGTATTTTTCTTTTATTACAAATTTAGTTCATAACACAATTAACATTCACCTCAATTTTATGGATTTGATTCATACTATACACATACATTTTTAAGGAGTACTATTTGACTTTAACATTATAATGGGACTTGAATTGCCTGATCATTACAAATGTGTTTTGGAGACGAAGGTTACATCCGATAGATGTTTTTGTCAAAAGGTTTTTATCCTACAACTATTGTAGGTCCCACCGAATATTATTAGAATTCCTTTCAAATTCAATGCAGGAAATTCTCAATCAGTTTTTCATTTGTCATGATGATGAACAAAAGTCGAGGGCAATCTCTGCAGAATTCCTTTCAACTTTGTTTTTTTGTATTGTCAATTGTACATTGTCATGTCAAGGGTAATCTCAAGGAGTGATTTGAAATTTTTTATATATGATGACAAGGGATGTGCTATCATCACCTCTAATGATGTTTTATATAAAGTGTTTTTCCGAAATTTACGCAGCTCTTTTGTCCACTGTCAACATATATGATTGTTTCATTTTATAAAGTTTCATGAAACTCACTAATAATTGTACCATCAAAATATTTCATTGTCATGTAGAGTTATTATGTCTTATCATTAATTTTAATTTTACTTTCAGTTTTTCATACGATCTAATATTTCATTTTCTTACACCTACTACTACTTATACAACTAAGCTTACCACACATTAACTCTAGGAAAAATTGATAGTAATAATCTCAATTATTGGTAGTCCGCTCATAATAATTTCCACTATCGATTATTTCAGAATAATTCCAACTTTAAGGATCGTCTCCCTATAATGGTTCGACGTGACTGGCTTTATAAATAAAGTCTTATAGTTTCCAAAGTGGATGAGAAGAGATATAACAGACAATCCCTATAAATAATCTTAACTTTTAATTTTTACGCTTAATTTCTATTTAAATTCACCTCTTATAGCAGGTAATATCCGGTCATAGACCATTATTGGCAGGCGATCCATATAATTGGGATTATAACAAAATAATCAATAGTTGGGATTATTGTTAGCGAATAGCGAATCAGTAATAGTTAGGATTATTGTTTTCACTTTTTTATATGGCAAATTGCACATTACACACAATCATAAAACATAATTTTAATTAAGTTATTCGTTCAAAAAAGTTACATAATAATTCTAGATATACCCCGTGCATCGCACAGGTACTTCGTCTAGTGTAAAGTAAAAAATTAAAAACTATTTGAAGGTTGTATATGTTAATCGATCACGAAATTGCAAAGCCAACACCTCCGTATTAAGCAGAACCAAATGTGTCTACCATAAAGAGGTACGTAGTATATCTAAATTCACGATATATGAGATAAAGTAATACATCAACTACAATGTAAACAATCCATTACAACTTTTATTATTTATATACTTCCTCCGTTCTTTTTTAGTTGCAACAGTCAAACTTTGCACATTTGCCAACACACATATTTGACCGTAAGTATATCTTAATCTCAATTAATAAAAAAATATTAAAAATCAGATTTTGAAAATTTGTAATGAGATGAATTGAAAAATATTTTTTTAAAAAGATAATTTCCGTAAAATAATAGTGTAAAATGTAGTCAAAGTAGATTATGTGAATAGTGCAAAAAGTCAACATGTTGTAACTAAAAAGAGACGGAGGATAGTATAAATTAAAGGAACCCGTCCTCCTTTAGTAGTTAGCAGCAACTTTTAAATCTTCCAAAGAAATTCAAGTGTGCATCTTCACCACCCATGATAAGCCTTTTCCTCGGACCCCTTTTTTTCATTAGCTTGTTACTGCTCCAAGGTATCCAGACTTAAAACAACCATAGCTTATAGGGCGAAAAAATGAGAAATTCAAATCCATAGATGCAGGATTATCTCAATTTAATTGTAAAGAAACTGAAGAACACCGAATTGAAGAGGCCATCGTAGAGAACATGGTTACCGGCGGCTTGGCTATTGAGTGTTGACATGGCCATGTCGTGGTTGTCAGCCCGCTTGAAAGATTACGGGTGAACAGAGGAGAAATACATGAACATGCTAAAAAATGGGGAAATGGTGAGAAGATGGTAGGGATGTGTTTTGATTGAACGGTTAGGATGTTATTTGGGGTTAGGCAGGAATACTATTTAATTCAAGGTTTAAAATAATTATCAATTGATAGACTAAGAAGTTAATTGCAAATTCATCAGAGGTCACAATTGGCTTGATTTTGTGATATAACTTCATCCAGAGCTATTTTTACCTAATAATTTCACCAAAGAGAAAATGATGAAACAACAATTATATTACTGAATTAATGTCAATATAAATACAGAGGGCCAAAAATACACTGTATTTTCATCCCGTGCAACGCACAACTGGACAACTAGAGGATCATTTTAGCTATTTTATCATGTAATTTTTTATTTTGTTTATTAATAACAAATATTTTAAATATATTTTTTCATTAATCAGCAGAATCAGCCAACATAGTCACTTCAACCAGAACTTCATAAATTTCAGCATAAGAAGCCAATTCAGCCAATTTTAATGTTACCAAATGGACTCACTGTGTATTTACTCCAAATGATTCCAAGTTACTGTATTTACATGAAATTATAGAATAAGCATTGTAACACAGAATTACTTATCATTCCCGGTGTCATTTACTTTACTGCATTTATTTTATGTACTGTGTATTCTCACTGTGTAACTAATAGACAACTAGTTACATGATAATACATGAAGCCCCAAAATGATAAGGCAAATGCTACCGGGAATCATTCTGTGGTACGCATGGAAAAGCTACTGCCAACTAATTTGGAACAACAAACCACATTCTATTGATGGAACAATCAGAGATATCAAAGCACATATACACAACTGGATTTCTTGCAAGTTGCAACACAAATAGAAAGGAAATACAATTTGACATTGAATTATTTGAACAGGGACTCATGCCACACATACACAAGAACAGCCGCCTAAAAGTAGTCAAATGGGTTATTACCTCTAATGCCGATCTATGCCTCAGTGTGGACGCTGCTTTTCAACACAAGAGAACTGGAGGAGCCATTTTACGTTATAGGAAGGGGACCCTATTAGTAATAGGCTATTACTAGCATTCAGCTTCCCAACAACGGCCTCCACTCCATTACAAGCAGAGATGCAAGCCACGCGACAAGAATAACAACTAGAAAAAGGTCATAAATCATTTGAAATACAAACTGACTCAGAACAGATTTACAAAGCTTGCAAAGGATCCAAGAGACCCGAGACCTTTGCTCCACGAAACAATTGACTATCACACACATGTTCCGAGAAGGAAATCAAACCGCTCACAGTTTGGATCGTGAAGGCCTGAAATCGGACTCACTGACCTTCTACAACGAACGACACCCACCACACGACGTCAGGCTGGCTTACAATGACGACCTCAAGGAAGAAGAATGTTTCGCGACTCAGGTTGATAGTCGTCTTCTGGAATCTTACCTGTCTGGACCGGAATTTTTGGGCGGTTCCTGTCTGGGCCTCAACCTATTTGGCAGCTAATGGCCACATCCCACTGGTCGGGCTGGCCTGGTGGATAATGGTCTAGGGCTTGGGCTGTTGGGCATGTTGGTCCACATTGTGGGCATGAACTCGGGGTCATTTACTGCCTCGGGGTCACTCTCCCTAACCTAGGCTATTTTCATTAATACCGTAAGTCTTTTAGAGAATTAAGCCTTTACCCAACCTTTCCCATATATACTTTTCTCGAATGGTGAGCTCACAAGTTATACCCCACATTCATATATACGATCGAGTGTTAAGGGTCACTTACTGCCCTGGGGTCACTCTCCAAAACCTAGAGTATTTAGAATCATTTACAGTTCAAGATTCTCTACCCCAATCTAGAGTATTTAGGGTCATTTACTCATGTCACCTCTCCACGTCCAGCTCTGCCGCCTCAAACTACCTTAAATCACGGCCTAATTTAAATGACCACAATACCTATAATAAGTTTTTATTTTAGTAATATATTTGAAAAAAAAACCATAGTAATACAAAGGTGAAAGTAGTGTAAATTATGACTTGAGTGGAACTTTAATTTCAAGATGTTATTTTAAATGACCATAAAATCCACATGAATATAGGACAAGTTTAATTTTGTAATAAAGTTTTAAATCAAAATTTGCAAACAACAAAAGACCACGTGTTCGTGAGTTCATCCATTATCATAACATGATAACACAAGCATTGTGTATCCTACTATAGAGTGCTCTTCATGTTAGGCTGGCCTGACGGGATGCTCCGTCCGGCCGAGCCCGTTTGGGCACCTTCCCGGTGGAATTTTTTTATGAAATATTTTGAGCATGTTTCTTATCAAGTCTAGTTTGTCCATACCAAATTTCAGCTCAAAATTCGATCCGGAAGGCATTCAAATCATTTTTTGAAGTTGACTGCGTCAAAATATACATAGAAAATTGCAGTCAACTTCAAAAAATGATTTGAATGTCTTCCCGATCGAATTTTGAGCTGAAATTTGGTATGGACAAACTAGACTTGATGAGGAACATGCTCAAAAAAATTTCATCAAAAAATTCCACTAGGAAGATGACTAAACGGGCTCGGCCGAACGGAGCAGCCTGTCAGGCCGGCCTGACATGAAGTCTCCTACTATATACAAATCAAAGTGGAACTTCAGTCACTTTTTCCACCCAATATACCGGGTAAAAAACGGGTCGTATAATAAGGGTCCAGGTCTGACAGATTTGGATCCACATTAATTATTGAAGGAAATACTTTTTATTCATTTTTTCGTGACTTAGCTTCTGATGTATATAGATCAGTGAGAGTTCTCGTTAAATGAAAAATGTTTACCAACCAAAACATTTGGGATAATTAAGGGTCAGGTAGGGCCTCGAAATTCGAAAAAAAATGTCAAATAAGGCCATATTTAGGCTGCTATGTCCGGCTAACGCCATTTGGGGCGTTTCCCGGTGGAATTTTTTGATGATTTTTTTTGAGAATCTTATTCATTAAGTCTAGTTTACTCATATCAAATTTGAACTACCAATTCAATCGGGAAGGCATTCAAATGAATTCTTGAAGATAATTGCGCTTTTAACTGCACAGTTATCTTCAAGAATTCATTTGAATGCCTTCCTGATTGAAGTTTTAGTTCAAATTTGATATGAGTAAACTAGACTTAATGAATAAGATTCTCAAAAAAATTCATCAAAAAATTCCATCGGGAACCGCCCCAAATGGCGTCGGCCGGACAGAACATCCTAAATATGGCCTTATTTGACATTTTTTTTTCAAGTTCGAGACCCTATCTGACCCTTATCCCAAAACATTTCGATTCCTAGCTTCCTCAAAATAGCGTTTGTGATCAAAATTCATTAAATTCAAAAGATATGTTCAACTGTTTAACATATTTAATACTCCGTACGTAGTTTAACAGCAGCAATTATTGAGGTAGTCGAGCATTTCGGCCTATTATTCACTGGATGTTTCATACTCATTGCAAACAAAGCTAAATCTACAATTTTCAATCATCTATAAATAGTGTCATCTTACACTCCGAAACCACAAAACGCACACCATGGACACAACACAGAAATTACTCAAGCAAATAGACGAATGTACTCCATGATAAAAGAAGTTGAGCACACGAGAACTAAAATCCGTCCGTCCTTATTTGAAGAGAATGGACCCCTTATTTTTGCACTATCTTAGAACACAACATAATGCACTTCTCTGCCCAAACATCAGGTAACACTGCTATATATTTAAGAAAAACTATTTGTATATTTTTGTTGTCTGTGAATAACCTGTTCACAAACAAAACATCTTCACAGAAAAAAGAATAATAGGCTATTAAAAAAAACAAAAAACAAAAATATAGTCTATTTATAAACGTGTATGTGTACCGGTAGGTGCAAACTTTTGTACCTACTAGAGGATCATTCTAGATCCTTATTAAATGCTAGCAACAAAATTTCTGCCAACTAGTTCCTCTTCCTGCTGTCCCCGTGAGGCAGAGCTACAGCCGGGGCTGCCCGAAGGCGATTTTCCAATAGCTAAATACTCCGGTTAGAGCTTTCTATAATTATATATGTCTAATTACTCTAGATTTTACATAAGAATTCTCTAGTGGAGAATTCTCAAGAATACTTTTAGCTATATGATAAGTTCGTATTTCAACACGCATTTGATGCGTATTGAGATTGAGTTTTGTCACTTTTCCTAATTTATTTGTGTGACACCGCACCCGAACGCCCTTGAAATTCAATTTAATATTCAAAGTTTATGTATTGTTTTCCCTATTGTCAAACAATTGTAAAACAATAAATGTTTTACGAAATGCATGATGGATCGTACTATCGTTTGGGCCCGTATTATAATGATGGGCTTCCAAATACTTAACCGGGTTATCTTATTAAATATAAGACCACAATACTATGTTAACAAAGATACATAATCTTTCGATACAAAATAAGGAAGGTCGGGCAGGCCAAGTGTTATTTTAGGCCCAACCTGCTAAAAATAGCAAGTATTTAAAAAATGGCGTCCTAGGCCCACTCGTGGGTAGCCCACATGTCTTGTAGTCCAAGAATATGAATGGAGAGGTCACAAATAAGTGAAATGATGTCTTGAGAAGAATACAAACTCCTATTGTCCCATCTTTGACATTATTGAGCTAAATAATGGAAGTATGATTTCTTTCTATATTTATACATCATATAAATTATTAGGATTATCCTACACACATTATAGATCAATAATATGATGTAGAAAGTTGACTGGGTCTAAATAAATTAGAATGAGTACAAAAAGACATCTCATGACAAAAGATAAAACATTAGGACCTATTCTTACATTTTTGGAAGTATTGGTAGATATTTTGCTCCCAAAATAATTAGGTAACACAAGGGTGAGTCCCACACCTTCCTAGCACCTTCAAGGTAAGTAAAATAATGTTAGAATAGGGGAGGGGGATGGACATAATAGACTTGGGGGCTGCACAACAAAAGAGATCAAAAGTGAGACTCACCCATGTCTAAAGCATCTCATGGAGACCATATCAATTCATTGAGGGGTCTTATACACTTCAACAAACCCCCCATTCGAACTCCCACTCATTTAGAGAAAGATATGAACTCATATCACAAAAGAGAGGTGGAGAGTGTTGCTCGCCGCACAATTGAAGTCCATCATCTTGTTTGATTCATATCTCGTGCTACACTAATCCAAATAAGGCTTTTGAGGTGCCTAATAAAGAAATTGCTCAAGGCTAATAATCCGTGAAGGTGCGGTTTGCGACAAACGGAGTAGTGGAAGACTTCCAAATCATCAAAATAAAACACAACCTCGCAGAAACCGATTTGCCTTTAAAGTGAGTTTGAATCCATAACCTTTCTTTTCATTATCTAAATGATATGAACGATTGAGGGGACTATTATACACTATTTCAAGTGTATAATATGTTCTTGAGAAGGTTATTTTATTTATGTAAAGGTTAGATACTAACCTAGAACAAATCTGGAAAGGTTAGGAAACAAATTCGCCGGAAAACACTCATTCTAAGGATTGTTTTCATTCTCTTGGTTAGAGGACCTAACAATTTGAAGAGGCTGCCTAGAACTAATTTCTAAGCAAGGAATCAGTTCTCAACCTTCCTTGGCCGAAGATTTGACCTTTGGGTTGAGGAAGAGAAATTTAAAGCTCATTTGAGGCGATGATCGACATCTTGTTGCTTACCAACTTGTAGGTTAAGTATGAGGTTACCTAAATGTCTAAAGCATGTTTTCATGGAGTATGATTCTTAAATATTGATAAAATATTGATAAGGAATGAATTTGAACACCAAGCACAAGTCTTTCAGTAATATCTAACGCACAAGAAACTTTATCTAACACACAATATGTATAAGAAAAACTACAACAAGTATCTTCATCACAAAAACCAATGTCTAATGCACAAAGAACAATATCTAACACACAAAATTAAAAACTACGGAGTAATTAATATCAACATATCAGGATTTCACCCAACTTAAACTAATAAATAATACACAAGAATAATTATATAATGCACAATACGAATAAACACCCAATAACGAGTATCTAATGCATAATCACCAATATCTAATACACACGAAAAATAGTATATAAAGCACCAAAATAAGTATCTCAATCACAAAAAATAAGTATGTAGCGCACAATAATTAAGAAGTAATCCATAATATCTGACACATAAAGATTTCATATAACTAAAATCATTGTATTGTACACATGAACTAGTATCTAAAGCACAATACGTATATACGTTAGATAACTTCCATCTAGCACACAGTATAAAGATCGAAGTATGTCATACACAAGAACCAATATCTAACACAAAGCCCCGAGTATGTGATGCACATGAACCGGTATCTGAATCACAACTCATTTATGTAATGCACATGATCTTGTATGTAATTCACATTTCGTATATAACATAAAAATGAAAATATGTATTGAAAAATAAAACTATGACATGATGATTAATAAACAAGGAGATAGATTATTGAAGGAATAATTTAATAAAAAGGGAGTGGTATTATACTTCCTTTATTCGTTGCTTACTAACAAACATTCCATAAAAACATGCAAAAAGTTCTCTACATGGAAATGGTCAATTCCATGAGTACGTGACAATTAAATCA